CTCCTCGACAGACCAAACAACGAAACGGACAAACGATAGGACAACAGCCCCAAAGACACATATTTACCCGTCTGACTAACAAACGATGCGTCGTTCCGACGTTGACGTTGACGAGAACAACTGGCTCTCTCTCACTCTCTCTCTCTCTCTCTCTAGCTGCCGTGACTGACCATTTGTATGAGCAACTGAAGCGCCGCAGCAAAGTTTAATACAACAACAAGTGCATACAACACGGTGGCATGTGTGGAGTATTATTCATAGAATTCTTATGCGAGCTGTTGATTTTGGTATACGGATTGGGTCAGACTGGCTGTAAGTAAGGCTGAATTGAGGTGAAGTGGTTTTCACTGTTGAAACTGTACATTGAGGAATTCAAAAACCTCCAACTGTGAGATATTTTGTTATTGTTTTCCTTTGGCTATTTACTTTTTATTTCTCTTATTTCTATTTTACTGTACATTTTGTTGGTATGCAAATTTAATTTTATTGTTTTACGTACGAATGCGTTGGACGCTTTGCGGAGATGGTAGGCTGGTGGCGTAAGGAGCAAGTGGTTGGGGTCGGATGCCAGGCGTGTGGTGAAAAGAAATTTAATAAACTCTGAATGAATTTTATGTTGACTTGATTTCAATTCACTTGTTTATTTCCCTATGCTTTGTGTATGACCTCAGATTGTTGTGGGCATACACAACACAATACAAAAACAAGTCAGCTGTGGAGTTCATCTTGCATTTAATTTCTTTATACTTGTATATACTACGAATGTATATGTGCCACATAAATATGTATGTATGTACACGTATATGTGGTAAAGAAAAGTGATGAAAAAAGCTTTTATTTGATTTTCACTTTTAACTTTGAGAATTTCAAATTCAAATAGAAAAATTAATTGAAAAGTAAGTAATTGCAAATGTTTGAAAAACTATTAAGTGGAGCCCTGAGTACGCATTCAAAGCCCTGCAGGTATGCATGATTGAATAAACAAATTCTATGCAATTGATCAAATAGAAAAGTAAGTAATTACTTAAAATTACTTTATCAATTAATTAAATCAGTTTAAAATCATTACTTTTCGTACATTCATTGCACAGTGTCTCGAAGACGTAAGAACCGTAATTTGACTAAGCAAATTTCAGCTGAGCTTCTACGCTATTTTGTGGCATTCACTTATATGCCTATAAGAGTTCCAAGTCCCGCAGGAATAGGTGAGTATGAAAATTGTTTATTAATAATCGATATAAATATCACTCAAGTAACTACTTTACAAATATAGGAAGTGAAGTCACAACACGCTGAGCTAGACAAAGCAGAGTAAGCGTCCATTGTACCTAAGGATAATGAGAGTATGAGTGAATCATATTCAAATTTCGACTATTGCTGAGTGGATAGCATTGCGTAATGCCATTCCGCGGGCTCGGGTTCTAACTCTGGTGTCGTACTAACATCCAAAAAAAACTTATAGAAAATTAATTTAAATAAAAAATGAATCTAAATTTTCTAAATGGCCCTCGGCAGGGCATGTCATCTCTCCGAGTGCATTTTTAACATGAAAATCAAAAGCTCCTCATCAAAAAACCATCAGTCGCTCGGAGGCGGCTTAGTATAAACTGTAGGTCCCTCCATTTGCTGGAAAAACATTAAGACGCAAAACCGCAAATTAGAGGAGAAGCTCGGCCGAAAATCGCTTCAGCGATTAAAAGCGCCAATTTTCATATATAACATTTTATTTTGGCCTCTTCTTAATTGCAAACGTGACACTGTACAACAACTACCAACGTCCATTAATCGCCCCAACGACCGTTGTGCGCTATTACGCTCAAGCGTTTTGTTGTTCTTTTACATTGAATTTTTTTTTTCCTTTTTTTCCGTGTTGTTAGGTTTTATTACATTAAACAAGAACCTTCCATTAAGCACGCAGATCCCACTTTCACTTCATTTTATACTTAAAATAATCAAACTAATTTTGTCGATCCCTTCCAGTCTTTTTTTTTTGTTTTTTTTTGTGTTTTTGTTTAGACGACGCTCATTTTGTTGTCCTTTACAAATTTCTTTTGAAAAATGCTACAAACTATAGCGAGAAAGTTATTTGTATATAAATATAAGTATGTACGTGTGTATGTATGTCACAGTAACGGACAGCAGCGCTCACATAATTAAGCGTATTAGTGCTTTTGTTATACTTCTTCGCACTTTTGTTCCGCTCACTTGTCGAAGCAAGCAAAAGGCAAAACTTTTCCTATAAACACGAAAATTCGTTATACATTTTCACCTGGTTCGTTAGCGGCGCATTGACGACCGTTGGCTACTACATTTACCATGGCAAGTAAGCGCAGGCTCCGCCGCGCGTCGGCTTGGAGGGTTAAGTAGAATTTTATAGAATTTGCTACGCTTCGTTACGGTTAGTTGCCGCCTCAATTTCCTGCCTCACTACCACTACTAACACACCCAAACTCATACATGCACACACCTCTCTACACATTGCCTGACGTCCTGTCTCATCCTAACGAGTTCACAACTTTCCACTCTGCCGTTTTATGCTGCGACTTCTATTTTTTTTTTTTTTTAACTCACTTATTTTCTCGTTTGCTGCATTTTATCAGCATGTTTCGGTTTGTATTTGTGGTTGTTATTGTTGTCACTGCTGTTGTTGCTGAATAAATAAAATTCGTTAGACGAATTGTTTTCAAATAAACGACTTTAACTACTGCTCCTCGCCAGCGTCCACACGCGCCCATTCGTTCCGGCTCGTTTCGCTCGCGGACGGTGGAAGACGTGCTGTGGTGGGAGGGAGCGCGCAGGATGCTAAGCACTAGTTGCCTCAAAGCTCTATCCAGCTACACTTTGCTAGCTGCATGCATATGTTTTCATTCTTTTTTACGGCAAACTACTTTATGGCTCATCTGACCACCTTGGCGTCGCTGTGTGCTCCTTTCAATTTCAAAAAGTATCAGCTCTTCCCCTTTTTTTATGTCTTAACCCGATGTGCTGGCCATTAAGCTCAAGTGTTTATCTCGTCGTCGTCGCCGCCGCAACCGCCGCCGCCTTTCCATGCATCCATTCATTTCAGTTCATTTCGTTTGCCTCACCTTCAATATGCTCAGACCAAACTGCTCTTACTTTGGCTCCTTCATCCAATAGCTTTGCATTTTGCGTGCTGCTGTGTCAGCTTGTTTATTTATTTATAACTATGTTCAACATTTTCGATATTTTATCTCCAACAATCTATTCGATTTTGCATTTATTTTATTGTCCTTCTGTTCGAACTGTTGCGCTGCCGTCCAGTTCAGCTCAGCTCAGCTCAGCTGGTCATGCATGTCCGGTGGGAGTTCATCACCTGCATTTGCAGCGCTCTCTTTTTTTCCATTAAGCATTTTTTCTCTATTCTTCTTTATCATTGCATTTTATAGTGTTTTCAGTTGCAGTTTATTTTTCTGTCCATTCAAACTTTGTGTGCACAATTCAGTGGTGAATACAATTTATGGAAGTATTTGTATTTCATGTTCTCCAATGGTACTTTATTCTACTTACGTATTCTCATTGTTGTTTTCCACACACTCACAGTTTGAACAGTGAACAATTGACAGTATGCGTTTCGGAAGGGAGAAGAAGGTTGAGCTTTAGATTTTAGATTTTAAAGAACATCAGCTCGGAATAACACAGATTATTATCTGCGCTTTAGAAACTCCACAAATCAGAGCGGAAAAAGATAGTTTTGACATTGTTCTTGCTGTTGTAACCGTAAAAATATTCGCCAAAGTAATTTTTGGGGACTGCTGCGGGAGTGACAGTTCTTGGCCGGTTAAAAATCCGGGTCGTTCCGGTATAAAGATTTCTCATTTAAATTTTAGTCGCCTCTTACGCCAGGCATGCCTTACCGCGGTTAAATTCTTCAACCCCATACCCGCCGCAGGGGGAGGTTTTTGCTCTCTAAAAACTATGATGATGTAAGTTTCGAGGCCAATAGAGAGCCGCTGTAGTTGAGAACATTTTAAGAAACCTATTTACAGCTCAATTTGATTAAAACTCAAAACCTGGGCTATATGCTTGCATGAATCATCGACGAATCGTTTGAGATATACATATACATACATATGTAGTTAGTATACTGATCAGTGACCACAACTGGTGAGTGACCACAACATTTTATGAGCTCATCTGCTTAGAAAATTTAGATATTATTTCATTTGTATTGTATTTTTACCAAGAAAAAATAATAATAATATGTTCAATATATTTTTTTATGAAAATATATGAAAGACATCATTTCCTTAATAAATGTGTAATAAATATTTATATTCAAGTAGTTGAACGACTAAGTATGGTATAAGAACCATATATTTCGCTTACTTTTATGTATGTTAAGCCTACTTTCTTGTTTTAATTTCATAAATTTATTAGAAATTTTATATATACATACATAATTCTGTTGATATTATGATTGAAAATGACTAGTTTACTTTTGTATGTTTAATAAAACTGCATCAGCCTGCGCCAACAAGTATGCAACGTTTTAAGCTTTACTAATTTTCAAATGGAATATTGAAATTCCGCAACGGCTTATAAAAGGAAACTATTAACTATTGTTAAAATAAATTAAATTTAATAAACTAAAAAAAATATAATGATGTAAAAATGATCAGAGATTTAAAGCAAACAATAAACTAATAGTGAATTGTTGAATAATGGTTTCTTCAACTCAATGTGATTAAGAAAATAAATTAAAAAAAAAAAAATTGAAAAAATATTAAAAAAATATGCAAAATATAATACAAAATACTGATATTTTAGTCTCATAAAAACATTCACAGATTACTAAGAAATAGTTAATTAAAACAAATAAAGACGATAGTAGCGCAAAAATAGTAATAGTTACATAAATGTTTAGAAAAAAATATATGTATGTAAAATACGCATTAAATAGATGATTTAACTTATTCAATTTCTTGACTATGCATATAGTATAGATATAATAAAAATTAATAATATTTGTGCAGACGTACCAAAGAGGGTAAATAGAGCATCAGGCGTGACCATCTACAGAAAAAAGAGAAAATAGAGTTTCAGTTAGCGAAAGTTTTTGTAAAACGTAAAAAAAAAAACAAAACAAAAAATTAGAGTTCGTAAATGTTTGAGTTTACATTACTGATTTCTTGATTTACTAATTGACTATAAAAACACTGTATGATTGCGTACAGTAAGAGCGCGTGAGCTGTGGCACTAAGCTAAATACTAATAGGTTTTTAAATTGTTGAATTTATTCACAAGAAATTTGCTATATTCATTGAAGAAGCCAATGTATGTTTTCTAAGAAATTAACCGAAAAAAATTAGAAACGAAAATATGTTTTATATATTTTAGTTCTAGCTTGAACTGCTATGAAATGAGTATTTATTTGCTACGAGGAAAGTGTAAGTTGAAATCTTTTAGTTATACGAACTTAGATCTAGTCGGTCGGGTGAACTTAAAGACTCAGAAAGATGCATTGAAAAATGTTGAAATTTCTAGCAAAATTATAAGAGGCTAACAATTAGCATTTGTGGTAGAAATGTTGGGCGTTTACTACGGTTACTGATTTTGGCCCAATATAATGGTATTCCACATGTAGTGTGAAAAATTGTTTTAAGTTCATACAAGTTGTCTACCTTAAACTTTTACAATTTTACTAACTTACTGTAAACGAGAATTCATATATATGTATGTATGTAAATAGCGTATTCATATTATGATTGCTTCGCGACTCGTCGATGAGATGAGGAACTCAGAAATTGAAAGTAGATTAAACAAGAAAATGAAATAAAACTTAGAGGAAGATGGTATTCCTTTCACTACTTTCAATATCGAAATGAGGAAATGGCTTTACTTGAAGGAAAATCGGAAATTAAAAATAAATAGCAAACAATTGGTTAGATAATGACAAATATTATTTGTTATGAAACATTCAAATAAATGAAGAAGGTAAACTTTAGGAAATAGTTCGAAATATTATGAAATGTGGAGCAGAGAAAACTTGCCAATTTTTCGTTTTTACTTCAAGTACAATAATGAGCAATTAGGAAATGTACAAAAAAAAATTTATAAAAAAAAAAACTAAAGAAATCAACCAAAATTTAACAATTAAAGTATTTAATAAAAGAAACTAATATTAAAAAAATACTAAAAATAAGCATGATATCGCAAAAAATATTCCAAAAAAAAAAAAATAATCAAATTAAAATTTTTTTTTCATGTATAATTGATAAAAGTAATACAATTGTATGTTTTCATGAAGTCTGCTTTTCGGAAACCTTAACTAAAATCTATAATATGTATATAAAATACTTTTATGACAGTAATCGATATACATAGTTAGTTTATATGTATATACATATGTATATAGTATGTTACTTGTATAGGAGACCAAGCTATGCATATGATTGACTTACCTCTTCATTCAAATTCGACACGAGTAGCACATTGGAAAATCCACGCAAAGCGGGCGTTGCCGTTTGTAGGGCACCACTGTTGGCCAACGCGAAGGCGCCTAAATTCGGTATGCCACTATTGTAGCCACCGGCCAGTGGTGTGCCAATGCCCAATGCAAATGGCGGCAATACACCGGGTGCGCCAAGTCCATTAACTGCAAAGTAGTAATTTTGATTTTTAACTTTTTTAGGAATACAAATTGAAATCGGAATTCCTGACGAAGGGTGGGAGGGGACGAAAATTGGGAATGTGTAACGAGGGTTGTTGGTGGGACCCCCAAATTGACTACATACAACAAATAAGTGATTAGCAGTTTTTTTTCTATCAGCAACTTTGCTAAATTCTGCCCAAAGCAAAAGAGTATAAATTATATTACAACATTTAATATATTTTAATAAAAAATTGTCTTCAATAAAGAGGAAAAAACTACTTGTTGGATACAAGGTTGGTGGTGTGAAAGCCTAACAATAAAAAAAATTTGTCAAATTCAGCCACAATTTATTATGAAATTAGAAAAAAACATTATACGTTTGCGTTAAAACGCGCATTACACATAACACTTGTACAGGGTTTTCCAATAAGAGGTGTTATTTTAATATTACAAAAAAAAAGAATATATTTTGATAAATTACGGAATGTTTATTTCGTGTAAAGAGGGCGACATGCCATTAATAACATCAGCCATATAGTCACCATGGCTATGCTTACACGACCGTATCCCTTTTATGAAATTTCGCAAAAAGGCTGCATTATGCGCTCAATAGCTTCACGATTTCCATTTCTGAGTTCTTGAATCGACGTTGGCTTGTTCGTGTAAAGCTTAGCTTTCAAGTGGCCTCAAAGGCAGAAGTCGTAAGGTGTTAAGACACGAGGTCTCGGTGGCCAACTGCAATCAGCTTTCCGAGAGAATGGTACGGACACTTTTACCTTAAAAGTTCGATGGTTTCGTCGTTTGTGTGGCACGTAGCGCCGTTTTGCCGAAAGCAAACGTTGCCTAGTTCAAAATACCATCCAATTTCGGCTATGAATAGTCATGAACCATCTGTCGATCCTTTCAACGTAACTGTTGCTCTAGCCTCATTTTCTAAAAAGTAAGGCCAAATGATCCCGCCGAACCAGAGACCGCGCCAAAAACTTACATGAGGATGGACATGCTTTTCAGCAATAAATCTTGAGTTTACCGAGCCTCAGATGTGTTACTTTTACTTATTAACCTAGCCATCGAAGTTTAAATGGGCCTCATCAGTCAAGATGATTTTTCGATGAAATATTTATAGTAAATTTTAATAACCTCAAATGATATGTGATTACTTATTTTACTTGTCAAATGTCAAAATGTTAGAGCTTCAAAAGTTACATTCACCAAAATGACTGGCTGTTAAAAATATCAACTTTTATTGGAAAACCCTTTTTTATTTTTGTTTTTATTTCCAGGCTGTGGCCTTACTTGCCTACTTCATTTAACTCTGGGAGTGGTGTGGTCTTCTTTTGGTTTTGTGTATGTGAGAGTTTAGAGGTTTTCAGCTTAAAACAATTGTGTAGTACCGAGATATAAAAAAAGAGCATCGTAGAAGATAGAAGTTAGACGAAAATGAAAAAAAAAAATTAATTAAACTTTCGGCCAAATGGTCACCAATCACAACAGTTCAATGTATTCGAAAAAAAAAAACAACAACAGATTAGAGACAGTATCAGCCAGATTTTGTATATTGGTTGAAACAAATTAGTAAAATTAATTTTTTTAATTTGGGTTTTTTTTGTTTTTGATTAAAATTTAGTTTATTTTTTTTTTGGCAAAAAAAAAAGATAAAAAATGAAAAAGGAAAAAGTATAAGTGTTACCTATTTTATCACCTGTTAAGGATGGCCGCTGACGGGCCGCGATCAGAAGCAAGTCATTTGCATTTACCAAACCACCAGCGGTGGGCATTATATCAGCACCCGGCTCACCCGGTGGCAATGATGGATTTGTGAAGTCGCGCGATTTGTCATTGTTGTATTTAACATTCAAAGCAGTCAATTTGCTGTTGTCGATGCGCAGAGTGCAGCAACCGTTATAGATATTCTGGCCATCTAATATGGTTTTGGCATGCTGAGCTGAATGGGCATCCGGATACTGGATGAGTGCCTGCAAATGAACGATTGTCGGTAGAGTAAGTGTGAGTGCAAATTTCATTTAACCTGTAAGCTATATTATAAAAAGGTGAGTATGTGAACTCATTGTCAAAAGCAAGCGTAAACGATTGATTGTTATATGCATAAGTACAAAAGCAAAAACAACATTGAACTCATAGGAAGGCTGAGTAAGATACACTCCTATATATTTTCGCTTGATTTGTTACGCAAACGAGCATAAAAACTGTTGTGTGCACATTCAGTCGCATATACGTACATACATAAATATTTATATGAGGCGCATATTAAATCAAGAAGCGTTGACATTTATACCCACAAACATATGCTGCCATCGCTTGGATTAAACATTTAAATACTCATATTTACCTGGAATGAATTATTTTTTGTAAATGTTACAATTTTCAGCACTTTGCCGAAACGTTGAAAGATTTGATGTAAAATATCCAATGACACTGGATATAGCAGCGATTCGACAATGACACGGAGCACCGTGTTGGGTCCGCCAGCTGTGGAGTTTGTATTGATGGCATTCGCATTGTTCTGTAGTACAGCAATTGTGCCATCGGCATTGGTCGTGGTGGCGGTGTTGCACAGCGGTAGCGGTGAGCCAGAGGCTGGTGATTGAATGCGGTAATCGCTGGACGCGACAGCAGTCTAAAAAGAAAAAAATCATAATAATAATTAGACTTTCTATAGTTCATAATATAGCAAATCAGTAAATGGTAGACTCGAAATTCACTCTCAGTGGCTAAAAATTACGTTTTTATTTCTAACACAATTTTTAATTTAATTATTTTCCTTTTTATGTTCATGGACATGGAATGGTACTTAATAGCAACTCAACTCAGTACAAAATTACTGTGAGCCGGCATTTCAAGCACCCTACATACAGTTGCAAAAGAAAGTATTGGCTTTCGAAAAGGTCGCAAAAACAGCTGGTACGATGAAGACTGCTATATCGTAGTGGGAAGTAACAGTCCGCCTATCTCGCAACGTTGCAATCGACCACTACATGGAGTTCGGATTGATGCCGGGAATTGAATATGTTTTGCCTGCATTTGCAGACCAAAAACGGAAGAAGCCGAAAAGCATAAAAACCTTGCTTCGAAATTCTACAAAAAATATGCGGCGAATTAAAGAATGTTTCTATGCCCTAAGGAGTCGATCTAGCGACTGATGCTCAAAGTATACTGAATTTATGGAGGGAACATTTCTCCACCCTGTTGAATGACAATTAAAATGAAACACCCAGAGATGGATGGTGAACCGGATTCCCCAATCGATGACGATGAGACAAAGCTTCAATTGCCTCAACAACAATCGCCTATTTGAATTAGCAGCCGAGCTAGTCAAATATGGCGGTGAAATACTGATACGTTTTGTGGATCACCTTCTTTTTCATACATATATGACCGCAAGAAGGTATGATCGACGATTGGACAATCTGCCCAATCCACAAAAAGGGAGACCACACAGTCTGAGCCAATTACCCTGGGGCATAAGCGTATTTTGTGAAAGTCTAAAGCTCATCGTTAACAAACTGATTCCACCTTATCAGTGTTTATTTAGACCTGGTAAATCCACCACTGACCAGTTATTCACCATGCGCCAAATCGTGGAACAGACCAGTGAAGAGAGAGTCGACACACACCATTCTTATCTACAATTTTAAAGCAGCCTTCGACAACATTAGCTGCCTATATGCTACCCATATGACGCATAAGGCTGTGTAAACTAACACCAAAAGCCCCCTCAGGTTACGAAAGAGCCTCTCCGAGCCGTTGGATACAAAAGATGTTTCACACTAGGTTTCTTCTGGGAAAGGCACAGTCTTCTATAAGACTGCTGGCATTCAGCAACCGAGCTGTGAACTTGTGGGCTTTCTCCATACTGGATAAGCGAAGTGAACGAGAACAAAATGAAATATCTCCTGTCATCGCTTTCGTGACTCGGCTACCACGTCTCCGTTCGCTGTGATATCTTTGAAGTCGTAGATAACTTGGAACCAGCAATGGCACCAATAAAAATGTCAGCCTTGAAGTCCGGCGCAGACTTACTCTTGGCAACAAGTACTACTACCTTGGACTGAGTAGGTAATTAAACGAAACCAAACTCTACAAATCGTTCATCATTCCCGTGCTAATATATGATGCGAAAAAATGGACGATGACAACATCTGATGAGCCGACGTTGAGTTTTTTTAGAGAAAAATATTGTGTGTTCCGCAGGCAATGGAACGATGAGCCGTACGAATTATACGATTATATTGACATAATTCAGCGAATGTAAAGAACGCAGGAAGGAAGGAAGAGAGATACCCAACAAAATGAATACTGGTCGATTCACAATTTAGACCGACTGTTTGTATGCAATTTGGCGCCTAGTTTTTGAGATTTTTCAATCCAAATGTAGGTAAGTAGGTACGTCGATGTATGTAGAGGCCATCATTTGAGCAACCGATTTGTTTAGATTTCTGATTTTGGTTTATGGCTAATTCAATAAAGCTACGAAAAACTTGAAATTTGGTATTCTGCGGACGCAAACTGGACTTAACAACCATCGAAATCGGAACGGTTAATCCTTAAATGCCATACAATAAATGCCATGTATGCATGAAAGGTAAAATGAGGAGGGTCAACAAATATTATTTAATTTAATTTAATTTTCTTAGTTTGATTTAAATTATTTACCTAACCAATTTGGCATTTGAATTCATTTTATTTCATTTTAATTTAAATTAATTTAATTGTGTCTTTAGTTGACATTTTTCATCTTTGTTGTATGGAAATATATTTCTGATTATACATAAATACCCACAGCTTGCGCAAAATAGGAATCTGCTCATACATTTCAACCAGAATCAATAAGTTCACATTCTTCAAAAACACAATGGAAAGGAAATCGATATGCCGAATTAAGGGAAACAGAGATTGATCTACAAGCATATAATAGAAGCAAATTGCATACATTTACATATTCACTATTCCTTCGCAGCTGTATCGTAATGAACCCGCCGCCGAAACTCCTCAAGAAGAGCATAATAAGAATTAAAAATATGTAGAAATACACATTTCATGCTCTCAAACCATCCACCTCCTATGAATCGGTGCCGGAGACATCACAATATCGGGAAACAATTTAATGACATTCGGAAGTGAATTTATTCCAGTTCGTGCTGAATTTTGATTTAAAAATCATAACGTAAACACGTTGGCTTTTATTTATGACTATCACACATACACGCACACACACACACACACAAAAATACGAGCGCGTAGAGGACACACGCACAATTCGAAGCATACAAAATCTGGAGAGGATGCCATCCCAAGTGTGCGATTTCCGTTTGACGACAGGTACGACAGGACGACGACGAACGCAAGAAGGTCGCACAGCAAAGATAAATAAAAGTGAATTACAGAGTGAGATATGTACATATGTATGCCTGTACGTATATATCTAGCACAGCCAAGAGAACTGTGCAAATGTTGGTATGCACTTATGACTACTTTCTTATTCATACACAAACATAAATGAATGAAATAGTCTCGCATTAATGGACACCACGCCGGAGAGCGGCAGAGAAATTCATAACACAAGACAGAACAGACAGAACAGACGCCATTTACTGAAGTGCACAACAATATTGGAAAAAATATGTAAGGAAAATCAAAAGCAAAAACAACATAAATAAATAAAAACAAATCAAAAGCGATGAAAGTGGAAGAGGAAGGGGGAGAGGAAGAAGTAGGCCAGGGCCAAAGGTAAATTATTGGCATGAATGGAAGGGAGGAAGTCGGCGGCATGAAGTAAAGGACACTTCAACGAAGAAAATGACGTTACTGCCAAAAGATTGCAAATATAATAAAAATTGATTAGAATTGCTGGAGTACGATATGCGCTACATACACACACGCGCGAATACATATGTATGTATATATGATCAAGTGTGCTCGGATGGTCTGGCTGGCGGCAGCACTTGACAAGCAATCGACTAAACTAAATGTATGCCAGCGCGTAGGACAAGTCAAGGCAACAGACACGCCACAACAAATGCACACACACGCACACACACACACACACACAAAAGCTACTATTCGAAATAGATATGTTAGCCAACTTAGCAGTCAACGTGCCAACTCAGCTCAATATACGAACTTTTCACTTATTCTATTTTTTATATATAAATATATTTTAAGTATATATGTATGTATATTTAAGTAAGTATATCCTTCCATATTTCCCATTTTACTTAAAAATAACTTCCTATGCGAAAGCTGACGACGACGACGACTTCTTCGCTTGTTGCTTTTTACTCATTTATTGTTGTTGTTGAGTGTAGATGAATGAGCTGCGAACAGCACGATTGCTTGGTTGGGTGTTGAATGTCTCTTTAAATGATTATGATTATTACATGATTGCGCGCGGTTTTGCAATTGAATATGGAATGAATGGAAGTGGATAGTATCATTGTGTGCAGAAAAATGTGAAGAAAATTTGAAAAATGTGAAAGCAATTGAAAAACATGCGTTTACGTTCATTTTGGGTATATATGTACATACACCAACAAAAGGAATTATAAATGAGTTAAGTTTGTTGATTTGATTAGTATATTTGGAGGAATAATGCCGGCCAAAAATTGCTTTAGCGGTTACAAAGCGCCAATTATATATATATTTATAATGGCGATAAAACTTTTAATGAATTGTGCAATTCAATAAATTTTCTTTATTTTTTCTTCAAATAGTGGTCCTATTGAGTGAAAAATTAAGTTACTTCTAAGAAAATTTGAGATTTCATAAAATCGACCTTTTTTCATATTTCGGTAGATTGCGTCTTAAAAAACAACATATTAAAATTTCAAATCGATATCTCAAATAGTTTTTGAGTTATAGCAATTTTAATAGCAGCCGCTCGGCAGCTAGAGAGTCTCATTAGCTACGAGTGAAACGATCGTTTTATCTTTAAACGCGTTTTTCTCGAAACACCATATTCCGAATTCGCTGCAGTGATTACTCAAAAACAAATGATCCGATCGCTATCGAATTTTTTACATGTTCTATATATAGTTCTCCGTACAAAGACCTATCGATTTTTGTTCTAATCAAAAAATCGAATTTCGGCAGGCCAAAAACGACCAAAATTTTGAATAAAATTCGACTATTTTTTTTTAAACGCCGTCGCCTATCGTTAATTTTTGATTGTTTTTTATCGTAGGTCATTGTTTTTTTTTTTAGATTTCCTCCACGGTGAAGGAGATCGACTATAACTAAAAAAATATTTAATTTTTTTCTTCAAAAATTTCACTGTATATTCTTGAAACATGTATAAATATATTCTTAAAATTTTGAAATTATAGATAAAGTTTTTTTTTAATAAAATTTCCCAAAAATCACTTTTTTTAGGCCTATAATACACTAGGTGTGCTCCTTAAGACCTCTTATTTTTTAATTTTTTTTTTTTATTTATTTATTTGAAAAATAATTATATTACAAAAGTAAAGACACCAGCTACTAAGGCTATCGGCCTCGACCTACTATCAATTTGATATGTTTATAGGCAATCGAAAGAAGAAACCAAAGCAAGCAAAAGAGCTGAATAAAGACTTGATTATTCCCAAAACTGATTAATTAAAATTTGAATACGAAAATTTC